TATATATATATATATATATATATATATATATATATATCTATATAGTGTGTGTGTGTGTGTGCGTATTATTTTTTGGTAGCAATTTTGAGTTAAGTTGTCAATTGGATTTTTTAGATACAAAATTAAAACTCTACTGCCAAATGGACATAATTGAAAGTTGAAGGATTAAAGTTTTAGTAAAAATTAACTTCGATGGTGAAAATTTTTAAATTAACCTCAATGAAATATAACATTTAACCACATGGTGATACTAACATGTTCGTCAATGTAAATAAATTTTGTTCAAAGCACTCAATATTATAAAAAATCCCACAAAAAGAAAGGGAACAGTTAATTTTAAGATGACCAACACACCATTACATTCTTACAAGAACAGAGGACCCAAAAGAAAAAAACTCGAAAGTGAAAAGTACAAATGCCAATCCCTTTACACACTTCCATACTTATCTTAATTCTTTCTGTAAACTATCTTCTTTTCAGAAGTTGGGAATCAATTCAAGCTTTGTGTGGAGGACACTGATAGCACTTAGTGAAGAGACCAAATGTATCTATTTGACGTATAAAGTTGAGCATGCTTGCCCACCCTCCAAACCCAAAACCAACCACCAAAACCCATCCTACCACAAAGATGTTCATGGAGTATAAGCCTGCCCAACCTCCCAGGAATGATGGTGGTCTCTCCACTGCATTCTGTGAAAAAAGACAAGGAAAATCCTTACCAATAGGCAGTTGTGGACTCCAGATCCGATAAAAAAATCTCCGATCCAAATACAATTCGAATATCTAAATGGGTTTTGTTTTCTTTAATTCATATCCTAATCCGAATGAATTAATTTAGTTGAATTTTAAGAAATTTAATTTAAATTCAACCCAACTTCGTCGAACAATCACTTACTTTCATTTCACATTTAGATTCTGTCAACCTATATCTGGCTAATTGAATTTGCATTACAATACTTTCCAAGTCTGTTTAGTTATTCGATCCAATCTTTGCTTAAGATACTAATACAGTGAGCCTATGATTTCAAAAAAAAAACTTTTGAAGATTCTGAATGTTTTACCTCTCGAGCTGATGTAGAAGCAAAAGTTATCATGTGGGCTAGTGCCGGAATTATGTAGACGGTAAAGCTAACAAGAAGCGATCCGACCGTTGAGTTGATCGGGCCAAAGAATGGAAAGACAATCGCCAGGAACCAAATGGGGATGACCACTGGAAGCCTAGCCAGAGCTCTCTTGTAAATACTTTTAATGTCATGCACCCCAATGAATTTCTCCCACACAAAGTATAGAGGAGTGCATGCAAATCCAAATGTAATGAACTGCACAAATATTTTACATCAAGATTTAGATTCACCAAAGTTTTTTTTAGAATCATTTCAAGCACATGTCTCTTAGACTCACGGCTGAACTGTGAATCTCACATGAACACAATACCAACAATATGTGGATCTAACAAAGTTATTAGGGCAAACTACAATAATACTCTCTACTTGTTACTTTAGTACTCATTCTTTCGAATTGTGTGTCGCTTCAATCTCTCAATTTTTTAATTTGCATCAGTTTGGTCCAATCAAAAATTGTGGGTTAAATTGACTAACAGAGATTATTAAGTACATCTCATGTAACCACACTTGATAAGGGATTAAAATGACACAAGTTGTAAATTTCATGGACCAAAGTGAGCCCTCATGTATAGTTACATGAGATGTACGTGAACACCTCAGTTACTCAACTTAAACTACTGTTTTAGATTGGACTAGTGACCCAAATTGAAAATTTAAAAGACTAAAATGAAATAATTAAAGAAAGAGAACCAAAGTGATACAAAACGACTTTTACTATATTTTACACAAGTTTTTATTACCTAAATAAGTTTTTTAAGGGAAAGAATCAGAATGGTGACCTGATGAATGAGCATGAGGATAACAGCAATGTCTCTGAATCCAGTCCTTGGAAGCAAAGCAAAGGCATTTGAATGGTTAAGGAGCATATCCCCAAATGCCCAATAAACAGCACTAGCTGACGGTAGCGTAAGGGTTAGCACATAGAGTGTTGCAAACAAGTATATCAGTTTGAACTTCTGTGGCTTCCACATTGCATGCATGATTTCCCTATAATTTAAATCCCCACAAAACAAAACTTCATTAATTATGCAGATAATTTAAGCATGAAAGAACAAATTAATGAAAAGAATAACGAACACATATTCAATTAATATTTATTTTTTAATTAATATTTATTTTATATTTGTGATACATGTTCCAAAATAAATCGATTTGAGGTCGGGCATTGAAGTGATCTGAACCCAAAATCTACTTCGTTTAGGATCTCTGTATCCAAATCTTGAGTCGCCAAGAGTTTAATGCTGGTAACTATGGTTTGTCGAAAGATATACAACCAGAAAGATTCTATAATCTATAGCTTTCAATTTTTTTTCCCTTTCCATTTATCCAGTAGTACAGCCATATAAAGCAAAAGGCTGCAAGACTGCAAGAAGATTGCATTATGAAAGACATGGAGCGTAAAAATTTTCTTTTAAGAAAAAAAAAAAAAGTTAAGCACCAGTTTTCCAGGAAACATGTTCCCATCCCTGATAAAGGGTTCCAGTAATAATGCAACCATGTCCTATGTCCGTGTTCCGACATGCAAGAAAGTACCTATAGTGCATACATATTTTAAAATACGTATCAACTTGCTCAATCTATAATATATATAAATATATATATATATAGAGAGAGAGAGAGCTCTTACACTGTCACAGCATGCCCACCAAAGGTGTAAAGAATGTTTGTAGCCCCAGTAAAGTACAGAACCATTTTGGTTGGACCTGAGTGCTTCACTCCCTCAACCTTGTCATCCATAAAACAGTTAATTATATAATTAAATCATTCACGATTAAAGGGATCAGGCCAAAATTAGACTTTAATACGATCACTATTATATTGTTCATTTGGATTAAATTAGATGTTAAGAAAACATACCTGTCCATGGAGAAATGAAGCAATGGTTAGATACCATGCAGTGTAAGTCGTCATCACAAGGCCTAAGAATGACCAGATTCTGTAGTTATGAAATGAAGGTATAAAAACTGTGGTGGCGCAACAGGCTCCGAAGATGTAAGTCCAAGTTCTCTTGTCGAGATTGTCATTTATGTAGTAGATGTTACTGCAATATGAATGAAATTAGTTGAAAAACTATAAAATTAAGAGAGGTTTGCAAGCATGGTTGAAGATCGGTCATCAATTTGAAGGGTACGCATGGGTTGCGATGTCGCTGAACCGTATCGAACGATATGGACAGATTGTTATAAAGAAGAAGAAAGTGAACAAGATTAAATATTTCAGGCGATTTTGCGACATCATGGAATGGTATCGGCGAATTTGGTAATGATGCCTCGGATGACTCAGGTTGAAATGGAAGTATAATTGACCGCAGAGCATGAGACTCGTAATTTATATAAAACGTAGATCGGTATCAAATTAGAAGATATCGAGACAGATACGACTCGGCACAGGTTCAATATATATTTTGAACCATGTATGGAATCAGAAAATGTGATAAATATCATGGTCTTGTTTGTAAAATTACCTTGCACAAGCAATTAACTGAATCACGGATCCGAATAGAAGAAAAGTACAGTTGAAAAAGAGGCCAATATTTCTCCAGTGTTTTCCCAGTAACCCATCAAGTACTTCAAACCACTGCAAAGATTTGATCAGATATGTTTGATGACCATAGATTCAAAGATTCCAAAACCCAAAATTTTTGTAAGTCCAGTGGCTAGATGAAGAAGAAAAACATGAAATTACCTGAATGACATGGTTCCTGAAATCAACCTTTTCCCTCTCCTTCCTAGTCCTGTACTCGACATAAAGGACACTTATGAGGTAAGCAGTCCAGCTTCCCATCAAGCCATAGAACAGTTGAAAAAGAATCCCAGACAACATTCCCAGTTGTGAAAATGAGTAAGGCAGTGTCAGAAGCACTTGTGCAACCTACATTCCACCAACAGAAAAAAAAAAAAATTATTATTTTCCACAATAATTTCACTATGTGAATACTAACAATACAACAGATAGATTGTTATATAGAAGTGCCTGATTAGAAGCACAGCTAAACCAAGCATCATAGACCGAGCCACCGTGCCAAAACAATTGTGATAATTTACTCTCAGCAGACTTGGAATCGGTTTCTTCCCGTTCCATCTCGACGTAGTTACCGGCTATGACAGTTTCAACCTTCTCTGCGGCCATTGTGATGAACTGAGGGATGTTTTAAGAAAGGAATGGAGACGGGTGTGGAGTTTATATAAATGAATTGTGGAAGTGCCTCTTTTCTTTTGCCTGTGAGCCCTTTCTCTTACTTCTTCTTTATATTTGGGTTGAGAAATGATTGAGTTACCGATGGAGGGATCTAAATAGATCACCTTTGGATGTCCATTCGGCCAGCCTATTGTTGGGCCAATATTAATTTTAGTCATGCAAACCCCAAATTAAGTTCACAAAATAACTAGGTGAAAACAGACAACTACCGATAGGGTCACCAATTTGGAAACCCAAAAAAAAAAAAACAAAATATGAAGTTTAAATACTATATAAAATGTTGTTGAGTTTTTCTTCT